CTGAGATTCATACACCTATAGGAATGGATACTCATATAGGAAATTATGAAGAAAGTGGGTAATTGCTTCACCGTGAAATCTTGCTTGTTTGATAGATATTTCTCTGCAATTGTGAGAGTGAAATTGGGTTGCATATATAAATTGAATTAATTTTGAAGCACCGAGGATGAGTTCTAATCTAAGTGTTATAGCCCTGAGTCCAATACTCCAATGCTTGCTGGTGAATAGTGATTCTCATTCGTAGCTAGTAGACCGGACCCCACCTGGTGTATATACAATGAGGCAACCAGCACATGTCTGGTGTGGTCTAGCACTCATCCTTACCTTGTCAAGGAGGTTGCCTCCAGAACACTTGTTTTGGTGAGAGATTAATGGTGAGGGGAAGGGATTCTGGACGCTTTTGAGTTGGTTAGTTGTTCTGAAGTTTCCCTCAACTCCTTTCTCTTGTTATGCTCCATAAGTTGGAGTTGGGTGAGAGAGCTGTCATTTCATCTTCTCTTCAGGATGACAAGGTTATGACCCAAGTCCAACAACCTGAATGTTGTTGCCTTTTATCTTCTTTTCTTCTTTTGTTATTTCTTTTTCCTTGTAATATTTTCTATTATTGCATTTGAAAGGCCTTTAAAGTAGTTAGGGTTGTGCCTTACTTGTGACTTTTTGGCAATGTTCTACTTTCTAGAGATATACTTGTTTAAGAGTAAATAGCTTTTTGGCTATTATTCACTATCAAATTTGGGGGTCCTTCCTAAACACTGATTTTGATAATTCACTAGACTCTTGTGAAAATCTATTTTATTTTCTATAACTTTTTGCCTTTTACTAATCTAAGCTACTAGAAGAAAGGAGAACGAAAAACTCTGGAAAATTTATGATTGTAATATGTGTAAGCTACCTAACAGTTGATAGAGCTATGTTGATAGTATTGGATCTTTTCCCAATTAATTACTAGCCAAAAGTAGCTTCTTCAAAATTTAGAATATTCACGTTGTTATATTTACTACTCCCTCCGTTCCAATTTATGTGAACCTGTTTGACTGGACACGGAGTTTAAGTAAAAAATGAAGACTTTTGGAATTTGTGGTCCTAAACAAGTCCAAATGGGGCCCAGAGTATTTGTGTGGTTATAAAAGCTTCTCATTAAGGGTAAAATTGTAACTTTAAGCTAAATTGTTACCAAATTAGAAAAGGTTCATTCTTTTTGGAACGGACCAAAAAGGAAATAGGTTCACATAAATTGGAACAGAGGGAGTATATGGTATTAAGTGAAGTTGTTTGTAAGAAGCTTTATCGACTATGTGACACTATGAGCTCATTTAACTAAGACTTTGTAATTTTCTGATATTTGTGTGGTCCTTTTGACATGTGTGGAGCTCTTAGTAGATTTAATTTTTTGAATTCAAGTTTTGGTTACCCTTGGACTTCAAGGAGTGTTCAGTCCTTTTTTCTTTTTTCACCACTTTGTTTTCAGTAGAGGCAGGATTGATGATTATTAGCAGGAGATTTAAAATGTTGTTGGTGGTATCTATTTGTCACATTGGGTTCTTGGATTTATAGTAATTTGATATCAGGAATATGCGATGTTAAATATATTAGATTTTTTTAATTGAAGGAAGTCAATGTATCTTTGGATTAGGTAAGGGAGATGCCCAATGTTCTGATACTGCCACGTAGCGCAGATTATAGTGAAGAAGTGTGGATGGAAATAAGGGAGAAAGCTATTTCTATGCTGCAATCATTCTTCTTGGATGGTGTTGCTCCAAAGGATTCTGTATCTGAGGATGAAGAAGAAAGCGAGATAGGGTATGAAAACGAACGACACCAAATACAAGATGTTGAAAGCACATTGCAGGTTTCTGTTAGTCATCAACCCATTGAAGATGTTGCAGAGAACTCTCAGAAAAGATTAGTGAATGATTCAAGGGAATCACCTAGTCAGCTTCAAGGCTCCATAGTATCTCAAAATAGTTCTGGTAGATCTGAAGTAAAGCGAAGCCGATCAGGTAAAAAGGCTAAAAAGCGGCATGGACGCCATAAATCACAGCACAAAGTAGATGATTCTTTGGCATTTGAAAAGGAGAGTACGTCACACCATGAAGATGGTGCTACGATGAGCGGAACAGATCAAGGTGTGAGTTCCAGTTCACGTTTTGCTTCTCCAGAAGATTTAAGAGGTAGGAAGACACCAATTGAATCAATACAGGAATCATCAGGGGAGCAGCTCCCAAAACAAGGCATGGATCTCAGCAGAAAATCTGCGGAACTGCTGAAGGATGGTTATATTATAGCTTTACATGCAAGACATCACCCTGCTTTGCATGTTTCCAGACAAAGAGTTAAAGGGGGTGGTTGGTTCCTCGACACAATGTCAGATGTCACAAAAAGAGACCCAGCAGCACAGTTCCTCGTGGTTTTTAGAAGCAAGGTATGCTGAAAAGAAATTTGGTTTTCCATTTACGGCAGCGCTGCCCTCTACTTTCAGATAGTGCCAAACTATCCACATAGTGCTTTGGGTGCCATTCGGACGACTTCTGGAAAATGTTTTGAAAAAAAAGTATTTTGCAAAAAGAAATTATGTTTGGATGGTTATAGTTTATTTCTTTAGATGTGAGTGTTCTGTGAGTAGAAAAACTTTTCTTTGACAGCACCATCAAGCCATTTTTACAGAAAAAACAATAGTTAAAAAAAAACTATTTGCAGAAACTTCTTGAAAAAAATTAAATGCGTTTTGTTGGAAAGATTTTGTGCGAGTTTCAAAAATATTTCCGTAAATGAATGCCTTGGGAATACATTTAATAACCGAGGCTCTATTTCAGGATACAATTGGGTTGAGATCATTTACTGCTGGTGGGAAGTTATTACAGGTATGGTTATCACTGTACTTGTTGTCATAAAACATCCTTGAGCTATGCTACCTCAGGTGAAGTATTTTGGTGTTCTATTGTGCTTAACCATTAAGAAACTGCAAAAGCTTATAACATTAAGTTGTTGCTCTTGCTTCTACACATGCTAGAAACTGGAAGTTTGAGATCACTTGCGTGTTATTTCACTTGGATAAATAATTAAGTATAAAAGTGTGGATGAGTAATTCTTTTTCTTAATGATCGGTGTCCGGGCAAGTGTGGATTAGTAGTTCTTATATTTATTTCATCAAAATAATTCTTATTTTTATATTTAGAAGTAAGAAATGTGCTTTTTTACCCCTTACCGCAAAGATGCCGTAGCTTTCAAAGTGCTCTTGTTCTACGTCCTTAATTTTGGTAGGATATTGAATACTTTGTCCATCCTTATCAAAATAAAAAATAAAAAATTGAATACTTTGTCCATGTTGAAGTTAGACCAATAGTTGAGTATGATAGAAATTTATTTCCTATGGCAAGTTGCCAACACTTGCGGCTAAGAAGTTATTCTTTCCAAAGGTTGAGAGAAGTTTTATGCTGGAAAAGTTCTAAATTTATCAATGTTAGAGGTTGACGTATGCAGGTATTCAATGGGAATGGATGCACTATATTTGTTGCTCCGTTCTTTTGTAGATTATCACCTTGCTTGATTTTATTGTATCACATAAAAGCTGTGGTTTCACCCTGACCCTGATATTGCAGATAAATAGGAGGATGGAATTTGTATTTGCGAGTCACAGTTTTGATGTTTGGGAAAGCTGGACATTTGAAGGTACTATGGAAGAATGTCGACTAGTGAACTGTAGGAATCCTCTGGTAAGTTCTTGTTCTGCTTCAGACATTCAGAACTAGGTTCCTGCCCCATCATATGGTAGTCACATATTGTAACTATTTTGGTAACAATGTCCCAGAACATATCTTTTCCCTTTTTCTAAAACTCTCTCCAAAACATCTAAACTCTCTCCAAAACATCTCTACCTGACCTCTTTCCTTTTTGAACTCCGGTTCTAATCAAGTGACAAGTACTACCGTCATAAGAATCAGTTATTTAACAAGGCTTTATTCCCTATCGTCCACTATAGAAATACCCATATTTTGATAATGTCGTCACTGCAACCTGCAGGCTGTTTTGGATGTACGTGTTGAAGTACTAGCAGCGGTTGGAGAAGATGGTATCACTAGATGGCTTGACTAGGCAGTGTCTGAGCCATTGCGCATGATTTTTAAAATATGCTATGCTGATTTGTTTGGAATATTTACCACAAGTAGTTTTGTAAGGCATTGAGTCTCACTCGAAGCAAGAGTTGTATGTTTTTAATGTAACTTTCATTATTGCCTCCTATCAGGGATCTTTTCCCCCCATGAAAATGGCCTGATTGTATTTCGAGGATTCAAAATGGCTTGTTTTTTGTTTGTTTAGACTGTTGCGTTCTAATGAAATTTGCATGCTTTGTGAGTAAAGAGTGATGAATATAGTGATTCTTTACAACTGCTTATTTAAAATCTTGAATCCCCTTAGCACCAAAGACTTTGGCCTGAGGTCAATGAAACGGAACGAATACTATGTGAGAGTAAAGTTTACATCCTAGCATAAGCAAAAACATATTGCTTGGTGATTTCTTTTCTTAAATTATCCTTGTTTTGCCTCCTAATAGGGTGGCAATATTGAGTGGCAATCCCATCCTAAACCAGGTTTAACTTTAACTTGTCCAAAAACGTGGAGACAATATACGCGTGAGTTCTTAATATAATATTGGGATTGGACACTTAAGCGCCCAACTTTCCTAAACTGATTGCCAGAAACAGCAATAGCTGTACTGTTTATAAGCTGAAGTCCTGAGGAGCCAATGGGCTAAAACAATGGCGCCTTCTTAGAGTTAACAAAAGATGAATTAGCAAACTCAGTTCTTGATTTTTTGAAAAAAATATTTAAGATTAAAATAATTCCTTTGTTATTATATTCAACCAAAATTCGGATTGATGTGGTTTACTATTTGAATTTGAATAATAGATGATTAAATCGAGAAAAAAAAAGAAACTAGTAAATGAAAGTTGGAAAATGAAATCTTTTTAACGACCTAGGACAATTCTAGAACCTGCCATTTGTCAAGAGATGCGAAACCCATCTCCACCTTCCAGTTTACTACACGTGGACGTCCTCGATCGCAAATTTCCCTCCATTACAATAATGTCGGTTACGTCGTTTCTCTATCAGACACTCCATATGTAAATGGCCTTTCTCTCTTGTTTCATTTTCACGACCAGAAATAAATCAGAAACACACACACAGATAACACACACAAACCTCTAAAGTTGCTGTAGCGTTTCAGAAATTTTGGTTGATAGAGCTACAAGTTACACATATGGTGTCTGTATACCCAACACCACCAGCGGGTCAAGATTTCTACTACATAGGGGATCCGACGAAAATGGGTCTTCCGGGTTTGCATCCGATACAATCTGGTTCTAATGGAGCAGGTACACTTGGGAATTTAAATTCGAGTACGGGTTCAGTTGTACCCGATGACCATAACAAGAAGACCCGGAAGCCCTATACAATTACCAAGTCTAGAGAGAGCTGGACTGAGCAGGAACATGACAAGTTTCTTGAAGCTCTTCAGCTGTGAGTTTTTCTCTCTCTCTTTTTTGCTCGCTATACTTGTTTGTGTTTGCTGATGTTTCTTCCTTGTCGGCTTGTTTTGCGTGTATGTGTGTGTTTAAATAATACTTGATGTTCTTGAGAAAGTTGAGGAGGAATGAGGTAAAAATGGTGGCGTTGCACTTTTTGGGTTATACTATGTTGATGAAATGGGTAATTGTTGTAACATTGGTTTAGTGGTGTAGTTTCTTTTTTGTCTTTTCAAATGGAGAAATTGAGTCTCTTCAAAGAGAAGTAAAAATTAATAGCATGGAGACAGGCAAGTGAGTTAAATTAGAGCAGAACAATGGAACCGCAGTTGCATATCACTTTTGGATGACTTAGGACTCCTAACATTTACAAAGGGAATTAAGTGAAGTAAAGTCCACTTTTGAAGAGACAAGGGGAGTATTGGACAGCAAAGATGCACACAGGAGCTCTGAATTATGTGGACAAGGACCAAATTTTAAGTGATAATATGTCGATACAAAGTCTATACGAAAAGAAAAAAAAGTTATCTGATGCAAAGTTGTCCTGGAGGCAAAATCTACCTATTAAAAATTAGGTAGTCTTAGTGATATACCAGATGGGCGCCACCTCCTGACCAGCTTCAGGGGATGGAAAGTGGGAATCAGGAAGAACTCATTATCCCATTTTGAATATAGCTCACTGTCCCCAATTGTCATTGACGGTACATGCTTATTATAATGAAAGCTAGATACCAGAGGTAAGGAGTAATATTGCAACTATGATGATCATAAATTTAGAATTAGGGGGATACGAATGCAACATCATAAATGCAAAGTCTGTCTTAGTGGCACTGATTTTAAGTAGGCTGTCAAAGCTACCTACTATTAAAAAGAAAAAAAATTAGTCTACTGTGGATAGGAACCATCTATTGGTCAAGTTTCAACGGAGGGAGAAGTGGGAGCCGAGAAGAAAAGCTCATCATTCCATATGTGATGTTATGCACTTACTAAAATCAAACCTTAATGTCATAAGCAAGAAGTCTTTCAAGTGATTATTCTGTCGTAGACTATATTATAATTTGCAGATCTTCCTGTGCTAGCTATGTTTTAACACTCACAACCTCTAGTTGAACAAGATTAATGAGAAAACAAGGCTGGGATAGTTTTCAAGGTCTAGCTTAGGATCATAGGATAGTCTCTATTCTGAAATCTCAATTTAAGAGTTGCAGAGAATGCATATCCTAATAGTTTGTGCCTATTGTTCTTTCAGCTTCGATCGTGATTGGAAAAAGATTGAAGCATTTGTTGGGTCGAAGACTGTTATCCAGGTAATTTGTTAAGCAGATGGTTTTTATTTGTTTATTTATTCTTTGTTTTTGTGGATTGAAAGAATATCTGACATCTGATGTTTTCTATAGAGAAGAAAGAACCGTATCTAATTATCTGGCTAAAATTTACCTTCAGATTGAGAGAATATTTTGATTCCTAAGAGAAGTTAGATTCTAGTTGTGCATTTTTTGCTTTTCTAAAATCGGAAAAGGGCCAAAAATGGCCCTAACGTATTGAAAATGTCTCAAAATACCCTCCATTAACCTTTTGGGCTACAAATGCCCCTAACGTTTTCTTTGGGCTCAAACTTACCCCTATCTTCCTGCTGCCATTTGGTGGACAGGTGGTTAGAAAGGAACTTTAGAATTTTTTAAGGCAAAAAGGAAAATGTACTTAGCCTTAAACATCGGTCTATTATTCTTCTATCCTTTTGGTGCAACCAGGCTTTTGTAAATGATGTAATGTTCTGTTAGACATGCTTTGCACAACTTTTAGACTTCTATTGCACTTTCTTAGTTCTTTTTGTTTATCAATAATATCTTACCTTTATCAAAAGAGAAAGTTATTGCGAACATGCAATAANTCAGTGTAAGCTGATGAATTATTCATTTTAAAGTAACGTACTACTTAGGTCCTATCTTGTTTCATCATGCTTTTGGTGCATATAATAATTGGAACAAGTTTCATATATCTCTAAGGAACATGCATAGGCTTGTTAAAGAAAGTGTCAGTTCATGTTAGCGCCCACTAACCTGATGCGATACACTCATAAGAACTGTATGATATATCAAAAGCAATCTCTTCTGCCCTGTTAGGCTTGATAATGACTTTCCTCCTCTAACCTAAGTGGTATACGCCAGTTAGACCTAAACTGAGTTTTAACCATTGGTGGGCTTAGGATGGATTGTGGAATGCTTGTAGAAATGCCGCAGTCGAATTAGTTGTCTTTTGGAGTTTGATGCTAGTTTCAGTCATTATTTAGAGCTATATACTGGTGGAAAAAGACTTATCTTTGGGTGGAAGTCAGGCGCTTCATTGGAGGAAAAAACTGTTATTTGGGAAACTGAAAATACTACAACAACAAAACCAGTGTTAATGTTTGGGGAGGGTAGCGTTTATGCAGACCTTACCCCTACATTGTGAAGGTAGAGAGGTTATTCCGAGAGACCCTTGACTCGAAAATAGCATAGTAACAATATAAATGAAAAGAAATACATCAATGGAGAAGCCATATAAAAAAGTAGTACAACAACATGATAATAAGACAACCAAACCAAAAAAACAACCGGTAGTAATAGAGATCTATGTATAAGAAACTATGAGAGTGATGATGATACTAAAGGCATGAAAAGAGAATATGCTTAACATCCTACTAACCTTCTACACTAATTTTCAACCTCCACACGCTCCTATCAAGGACCATGTCCTGGGTAAGCTGCAAATGTGCCATGTCTTGCCTAATCACCTCTCCCCCGTACTTCTTTGGCTTGCCTCTACCTCTCATTAGACCGCCCCCATGGCCAACGTCTCACACCTCCTCACCGGGGCATCTAGGCACATCCTCTTCACATGCCCGAACCATCTCAGACTCGCTCCCCGCATCTTGTCCAATACGGAGGCCACTCCCATCTTTTCCCAAATATCTTCATTCCTAATCTTATCTCTTCTAGTATGCCCACACATCCATCTCAGCATTCTCATCTTCGCTACTTTCAACTTCTGGACATGGAGGGAAACTGAAAATGCAACCTGAAATAATGAGTTAAAAAAAAAACACTCCAATTTGTGATAACAGTGGAACGTTAGTGTAGTCAGTAGTTATTGAAGCAAATATACTGTGTGGGAAATGTCACAAGAGGATTGATTATTGTATTCTAAATGTCTCTTAGAAGTTGTCCAAAGATTGATCCTTGAATGTCAATCACACAGTCGACTATTCTGCTTGACAAATGCAATTGACAAAAAAAGAGATACCAAGACAAGCATGCTGATGATTTGCTGTTTGTACCAAAAAATTCAAGATATCATCAGTGTGTAAGCTATGCATTTTGTCATCTGTTAAGCACAGATATTGATCTCCATTTTTTCTTTATTAGCTTCTATATGGGGTCTGTTACATGATATGCAGTACCAGAGGTATCATAATCATGGTATCTTTCTAGTTCCTTTTCTTATCTTTCCCTACTCTTTCAAATGCAAGATACCAGCTTTTCATTGTTAACAGAAGGACAAAGGTGACTTCTATATGGAGTCTGGTTAATTATATGCTGTATTAAAGGTATCATAATTGTGCTATCTTTTTATGTTACTTTTCTCATCTCTCCCCGCGTTCAAATTTGAAATGCCACCTTTTCATTGTTAAAAGAAACAAAAAGTTGCTATGCCTCTCTTCCTCAACTCTGGCTGCCCCTACTTGGGAAGTTTTTCATGTCCTACCTCTCTCATGCTCTGCCTTGTAGATAACTCTAGGACTCCACTTGATTTAGCTCTTATCATCTTAGCTTGAATCTACTTGATCACATAGCAAAATTAAAGCTGGTGACATCATGAAGCACTTGGTCGCAATCCGTACTGGTTTTAGTGGTAGTTTAGAGACAGCCCAATGAGAATCTTCAGTGAACTTATTGGATTAATCAGACATATTATGTTGTATCAATATCCAACAAGAATTTTCTGTAGTGTTGTCATCAACCTTTCTTTTACGTAACGTGGTATTTATGCAAAGGTTCATGGGTTAAAAATCAGTCACAAGCAGGAAAAGAGAGAAGAAAGTGAAAAGTACTGGAAATTCTTGGGGGATCCAGGGAGATACTCCTGGGAAAAGAGGGTTGTTAGGATGAGATTGAGAAAATGTGTTTCTCATATCATGTGGATCTTACCACACATGATCAATGTACTTGTTTACAGCTGTAGGTACATTTACAAAATATACGAGTAGTTGGGTCCATTCAGTCCGTTAGAGCAAAGGGGAGCAAATTTGAGAGTATTTGATGCTTTTCTTTTCCCTGTATGACTTGTAATCAGATGGGGGGAAAAGGCTACTTCTGTCTCCCTATAACCTTTATTTTATCTTCATTTAGTTCGTGCCAATAAAAGGATATGTTGCAGTACCAAGACAGAGATTACAGAGATTACCGCTTCTTTCTTTGCAGTTATTTTTCTGTGCAGAATATTTTATCAATTCAATATATTTGATTTGTTCTCCTTTCCTTTTTCAATTGCAGTTATGCCAGACTTTGCACAAGTTTACAGGTTCATTGGCAGTGTCTTTGATCCAAGTACGAGGGACCACTTACAGAGGCTAAAAAAGATGGACCCCATAGATGTTCAGACGGTATGTGGGAATTAGTTTAGCAGAGACACATATAATGTTAGATAGATCCAGTTTGCATCTCACATGTGTAAAGTTGTGAACAACGAGAGGGAGCAGAGAGATGGGTCTTAGATAATGCTCTTCTGATCCCAAATGGAATGACTTACTTTGTCTACCATGGTGGAAGAACTTGAATGGTTAATTTTATAGGTCACAGTCGAAATGTGTGTCGTTGGGCAGGCTAAGCAAAGATGAAATACTTTTCAAAGTTTTGAAGATGGAGAAATTTTTTATACCAGGAAATAACTGAGTTAGATGTGTGCATTAGACATTACAACTGGCCAACGACGAATCTCTATTATTTCCAATTAGTAGTAGATCATCAGCCCCTATGCACTTCATATTAGTGGGAGCCTCTGAAACCTATCAATTTTGTTTTGTTCAATATTGCACAAAACTGAAGGGAAAAAGGCACTTTCCTGATCTATTGTACACTTTGAAATGCATGTCCTAGAACAATAAAAAGTCAAAATTTTGAAAGGCAACAATGCATGCTTTTTAGGACGCTGAGGTTCAGTGTTTTGTGCTTGTGTATACAACTCAGCACACTCCCTTTCTTGAGTACCTGACCGCCTCTCTTAGTAGAGTTGGTGCTAGTATCAGAGGTGTCAGAATCATCCCTTTACAGCATCTTTAGGTACATTTGACATTTAGACAGTTACACTGCGATCGACAGACATGATCATTACAAACTTCTTTTTTCCTATAGATTTGTCTTTTTAAGATAGCAAAATCTTATCCTGTTTTATCCTTTCTCCTCTCTCTCTCTCTCTCTCTCATCTGCAAACTGTAAGTAAGGTCTTGGTTCCTGGAGTGTTAGATTCTTCAGATTATGGTGGACGTGAACTTCTTTTTATCAGACCTCAGATACACTACTGCATGCTGCCATGTTGACATGTTAGTCTATGAATTGCTTCATCTGTCACTTGACTGAAATGTACTGTTTTGTTGGTTTACAGGCACTGATGTTGATGAAGAATCTGTCCTTCAATTTATTGAGCCCTGAATTTGAGGATCACGTGAGTTTCAATCAATCAGTTACATCTTTCTTAATCGGTAAAGGCTTATGTGATCTAATTAGAAATCTCAAAATAGTGATAGAGCTGGAGGAATTGCACTTTGGTCTTTTTAAGGGAGGGATTATTCTTCTGTTTTATTATGGTTTCTGATAGTACTGGTTAAGTCTAATTTTCTTTGTAGTATCTTCTTGTACCTGTTGTTGCAATACTTTTTAGTGTTGAGACACCAAGTCCAATTCTACAAAATAAAAGCCAAGTTGAGCTGAGCAGGTGTTGTTTTCTAAGGTTCTATTAATGGAGGTTTGAGTTTGACATGGCTCGGGCTCAGCGCATATGCAATCTTTTTTTATTTCTCTTTTCGTGAAGAAAGTAAAAAGAACAAATGGATATTGAGAGAGAGAGAGAGAAGTCAAAACGAACTAAGAAATGGAGTTTCGCTGCTGTGCTGAATTTTAACGACCTTCATCCATTGGTCTATTTTTGAGGTAGTAGCTTTCCAGTACACTCCGAGACGAAGCAACAATGAGATCTGTTTGGTCCCTAGTTCATCCGTTGGCCTAGCTATATCACCATACTGTAATTTTAACTAGGATAAAATGTTGCATAGCATGAAAGCTAAGTGAGTTAGTCAATTATCCATTGTTTATCTTAATTCGTTTTCTCATGCTTTGTGCAGAGGAGGTTGCTCTCATCGTATGGCTTGGGCGCTGAAAAAGATAAAATGGACCATCCTATAAAAACTGATTTTAGAGAGAATGCAATCCGAGCTGTCTAGGAATCTGGAGGAAGTTTTAGAAGATGCGTGGTCATTGCATATACCTGGTGGAGACAGAAGAGAGGGCAGCGTGATGCAAACACGTGCAGCTTGTGTATCTAGTCTGTTTATATGGTTCAAACTTGCAAGTTGTTCGCAGTGTTTCCAGCTCCATTCTGTATATACTTTTAGGGAAAGACAATGCGGGAGTAGAGATACACTTTGAGGGCTTGTATGTACTTGTGGAGAGTAGTATATGTTTGTGCTGTATTATAGGTAGATGGCGTAGGGCTTGTGTTGTATATTGTTGAGGGGTGTGCCTTCATGGGTTTTGTCCTAAAAATGTGTAATAGGTTAGACACGTTTGTAGCAGTGTGTTTAGCATACTGTTTGGCAATGTTGAGAAGAACGGAAATCGAAACTGTGGTTTTGAAGAAATAGATCAGTCACCTAAATGATAAAAACTGTGTAAGGCGGAAAGAAAGCAAGGAGCATAAATAGTGTTAAAGGTGGAGAATGCTTCAGTTACAGAGAAAAACAAACTCCAGTGAGTATTGTAAGATATCAATGCATTTTAGGCCATTTGTTTGAAGCTAATGTGACCAAGTAGATGCCTATACACATTAATCTGGGTCCTTTAGCCAAAAATTGAAGGGATTGACCAGTACATTTTTGAACCATATCGGATAAAATTGGAGAATCAGCCAACGAATTTCATGTTAAAAACAATTTGTTGAACAGTGTTAAAGATCGCATTTTCGTAAGAGTATACATCAAAAACATTTGATCGCTTTATCACGATTCACCGGAATACGTTAGATCAACTTTTCCTTTATCATTTTCTTCGGTTTCTTTTTGTTGTTACTTTTGCATCAGTACACCAGCAATAACGCGTACACTAAGCACAAATCAAATGATACCACAATATGACTCAGGAACTTTACTTTGTAATTGCACCTTTCACTACTAAGAACATGTATTAATTGGGGAACTAATCAAAATCTACCTTGACCCCTCTAAAGAGAAAAATTAAAATCAAATCCTAGCTTGCATGCAAATCACATCTATATAATACTGAAGCTAAAGAATCCACTAATGTCTCTAAATTCTTGATATATGTATAGAACTACGTATATTCAGTTCAACGTTAAACCTGTATATGGCAATCCAAGGTCCTCATCCTTTGAGCTTGAAATTATCCCATTTATTCTATCAACAACTTTCTTTTTTATCTGCACCATTGCAACCTCTAACTGCTCCAATTCCTCCATACCCATATCTCCAACCGGCAACTCAAACGATGTCGTCTCTTCATCTTCCTGATCCACATTATTCTCAATCACTACATCTTTATCCTTCTTTTCAGCCTCTTTATGAACCGGAATTTCATTGCCTTCTTCAGGAGCTGACGTGGCGGCAATATAACGGTTTACGACGTCGTCAACAGAAGGATGGCCGAAGGCAAAGACGTTGCCGGCCAAAGAAAACGTGATAACAGCGGCTTGAGCGTCGCATCTTTTGGCCAACTCCTTAGCTTTCTTAAAAAGACCTTGTCGACGTTTGGTGAAAGTGGTATGCCTTTTAGCTTTATCCTCTATTCTCTTGATCTCTACTTTTGTACGCACCATGCTTGCTTGGTAGTAGTACTTAACCTGCAATTTTGAAAGGGGTTTAAATCTAGGGTTTTTCCTGACTTGTTTAACGATGCAAGAAGAAGAAAAATAGAAATTAAAACCCTAGTTTTTCTGAATGTAGAACTGCACTAAGTCAATAGGTAGTTCGAATTCAAACATGAATCTGCTTTATTCTTTTTGAAAATACAGATTAGTAGTTAATGAAAACTAGTACTACAAGCCAATGGATACACAAATTAATGGGTAACTTACCATGAGAGATGATCAGTAACAGTAACGAAATTATTTTCTAGAGGAAAGGAGGATTACCAATGAGAGAGAATGTGCCTTTCTCTTCAATCAGACTGCGCTTTGCCGCCAAAGTAACACAATGGGAGACGTAATTCACTAGGCCACAAGACGGCTCTGTGTATAACTCTATATATAACTTTAATTCATTTAATTTTCAATGTGAATTTTTATTTTCGCAAAAGTAAAAGATTTAAATATAATTAACATATAGAAACTATCCAAAAATAAATAAATTGCAAATTTTTTGTATTTAAATAATGATTGAAAAAGTCACACTTAAAAATAAAAATAAAAAATTGAACTCCTCAAATAGTTGCATTGTAATTTCCTTTTAGGCGAAGGAAGTATATTTATATTAAATTTACATTCAAGCATCACTAGAGGAAAAGTAATAATAATGGTAATTTCCACCTTATGATAAAGCAAAATGTTATGAAGGAGTAACAAATTTTGGTGGGGGCGTAAATGGGATGAAAAAGGCCATCAGCTGGGGCAAGCTTTATATCGAAAACGGCTATATTACCGAATATAAATTCTTTTTTTCTCCATCATATATACATATTACTGAGTATTAATTCACCTCGTTGAATTGTGATTATTCGTTATTGCACTAGACATTAGACTCTTGGATAATTAGTTGCCTTTGGGGAAACCTTACAGTTATTCGTTAAAGAAAATAATTTAACGAAGAAATATCTTACTAAAGAAGAAGGGTAACCGGGTAAGGACGTAGAGAATGTGGCAATCTGCCTAATTTTTCTTTCTTACTTGATAATACTATGTTTTACCTAATAAAACTTAAAACGGGGACGTTCATTGATCAATCATAGGGGAGATAATTCGTCAATTGTTCAGTTAAAATAAATATTTTACTTCCTTACTCTTAACTAGAACATTTTTTGACTTCAATAGCATTGTTCAAAAATCAAATCAAACGATTAGTAGTACTTTTAAGATGTGAAAATAAGTGTACAAGAGTTGAAATCGAAACGACTCTTCAATAGAATGAAATTCTTCAACAACCGAGTCCCACCACTTTGAAATTGGTTAACTCCAGTACTATAATGAGGATTCCAGTGATGCCAGAGAAAAATAAAAAAGGGAAGAGAGCAGGCAACAACTAAATTAGGAACACAAGAAAGATAAATATGAACTGAAAAATTGCACAACCATGTTTGCACAATATAGTAAGAGTTGTGGATACAGAGGCCCTTTCCAGTCACTCGTCACTGGCGTATGTAGATGACACTAACCCACCCACCCCCACAAAGTACCCAGAAAGTAGAATCTAAGACTTATGTCATTTCCCCTGATATGTTTACCAAATACTTGCACATAGGTGATGGTAGATGAGTACCGCATGAAAAATGTTAACCTTACATGGCCAACTATCTATATCGCAATCCCATGTCAAGCTCGTGACTGTACGTCCCCTGTCCACGCCCAGCAGGAAAAGTGTGATTCTGCTTTGAAGCCTTAAGCTCCATCTCAATAAGCCTTTGCAGGGCCTCAGGATGATTGTTTCTGCTGTTGATATCTGGACCTGAGGACGAAAAGAATATAATGTAAACTCGAACAGTGTAGAACATCGATAGAGTATTCATCCTCAATCAGAAAAGTAGCACCAATTAAAGGACTAAGTGCAAACCCTTTTTAAGAATGCATGATATGTGCACAATATATTCTAATATGTTCTAGATGTTTAGCGTCCAATGATATTCAGCAGGGTATAAATCTTGAGACATAGCATCCAGAAAAGAAGTGGCCATGGGGATAGCATTTACTTGATCAAACCTCAAAAGCAAACAGAGTAATTTGTAGCAATTAGGAAGGGG